ATTTTTGACTGTGAATGGTTGTGAGGGATTTCGCCGGCGATGGGGACGGAAATCTTCGGAGATGGGGATGGATTTCGCCGTAGAGAGTGAGAGATGGAGATGGGACTGAGTGTTGTGTTTTTGGGTTTTAGGTTATGAGTTGCGATTACTGTGGACGGTTCAGTTTCCGATTTATTAAGAAAAAATTCGTGTTTGGAATTTGAAAAAAAAAAATACATACGAATGGCGCTATGTAAATCGCGTTGCGAAAGTCATAATCGCGTTGCGAAAGTCAGTATCTCGTTGCGATTTTGTATTATCGCATTGCGATAGTAAGTATCGCATTGCGATAGTCAGTATCGCATTGCGATTTTCCCAATTCGCGTTGCGATTTACTTATTCGCATTGCGAATTGGGAAAATCGCAACGACATTGTATACCATCGCAACGCGATTTCCAACTATCGCAACGCGAAATGCAACGCGAATTTGCGATAATGGAGATCGCGTTGCGAATTAGCGATCGCATTGCGATTTTGTTGGTCATTTTGGCAAATCCGGAAAAAGTTGGTTAAAATCGTATATTATATGGGATTTTTGGTCACTGAGGTTATTTTTTTTTTTTATCACTATACCTTTTAATCATCATAAGTCATAGGTGAGAATTGAAATAACTTTTAACAAATATTATTATTATTTTTTAATCATTCATTAATTAAACATTTCAATGTTTGATCATATTTTACTATACCCTAGTCAACAGGTTAATATCAATATCATACAATCACTAATTTTTAATAAAAAATGATGAGTTTGAATTATATAAATAATCGAGTGATCATTTTATAACTTTTAATGGTTGAAGGACTCAATAACATAACATCCTATAGTCGTGAGACTATTTTATAATTTTTAATAGCCATGAGACTATTTATGTACTTTACCCTATTATTTTCATATGATCTTTATTTTCAATGACTTGATAAAAATGAATTTAAAAATATTATATGGAATTAATAATCAACCGATGTGAAGATTAATAAAAATATTAATATATTTAATGTGAAATTAATATATTTAGATGGGAAAAATAAAAAAATATTATATAAATAATTAATAAAATAATATTTTGGCTGAGATTGAAGATTGAAGCCAAGGGAGAATTCAATTCATGGAGCTCGTCATCACTTGTGTATGACTTTCTCAGGACCGACGACCCACTTCTTCTCAGCCGAGATTGGCTTCCAACTTCGCCGATGATGTTAGCGACAGATGATGCTGAAGGTGGCAAATAAGCTGGAGGAGATGCAGCATACGGGAAGTCTGTGACAAACCCTTCCCTCTCTTCGTCGGGATCTGTTACTCAAGTCTTGTGTGCATGTTCAGTACTTCAGTTGCTGTGAGTTGATATCCCACATTAGTGATTCTTGGAGAAAGGGGTAAAGTGAGTGTATAAAAGGATGGGTTTTTAGTAAATAAAAATTAACCTGTCGAGCTTGAATCGAGCTCAAAATTATGCTTGAATCGAGCTTCAATCGAGCTCGAGTCTCGAGCTTCAATCGAGCTCTTGAATTTTTTTTGAGTTCGAGCTTTTTCGAGTTCGAGTCGAGTTTCAATATTATCATTCGAGTTCGAGTCTTGAAAATTGTAGGCTCGCGAGTTTTCGAGTCGAGTCGAGTTTATATTTAAAGTTTTCGAGTTCGAGTCGAGTTCGGCAATACTCGAACTCGACTCGTCTCGTTTACACCCCTAACTATAACAGAATAACAAAACAAGCAAACTAACTCTCTACAAGTGTTTATAAAATGAGAGTGGAGAATGCTATTACTTTTTAGAGTTACTCATCTCATAATGTGTTCCTATATATTGTTTGCGTTGATTTTGATAAGCTGCAACTTGAAACTACATCAGATATAATTCTGCTAAACTAAAATATGCAACTATCGGAAGTCTGAAAACTAGCAAAACTATTGAACATTCAAAGAACATCTACTGTATTTTTTTATAATATGAAAACTTAGCCAAGCTACTATTTAAACAGACAGAAAAGCATGCAGTTAAATGAGCTAACGTGCACTAACCTAGACCATATTACAGTCATATAACATCATCATAACAACCTGAACCTTCCTCTAGCTCTCATACTACAATATTCTCTCTACTGCTTCCCATTGAACCCTCCTCTCGACCAAGAATTTGAACCTTCTGTCGAAACACAGGATAATACATCTTGGATCCATCAGCAACCTGATGTTGCGTTGGAATGTGGTTGACAACCAGACTTCACTACAGTAGAATAGGTCTATAGCGGAGTTTACTGTACAAACGCCATTAACATTTTACATATCGCGGCGTTTATATAAGAAATGTCACTAAATGTCAAAATTAGTGGCGTTAGTGTGAAACGCCGCAAAAGCATTTAATTTTAGTTGCGTTTTCAGGAGAAACGCCGCTAGTGAATGATAACGGTGACATTTTTAAAGAAACACCACCATAGACTAGTACATTAGTGGCGCTTTGTTAAAATGTCGTAATGGACTAGGACATTAGTGGAGTTTCCCTTACAAACGTCGCAATAGATTGGTATATTAGTGGCTTTTTATTATAAACTCCACAATAAGACTAGTGTTGACTGGAGCTCCAATTTGATGAAGATGGTCTACTTTGAGGATGGAGGAAAATTTGGTTAAAACATTAGGGATCAAACATAAGAAACGTTGGAGATATATGCATCCTCTTGCGGTGTTGTCAGAAAAACGCCGCGAATATACCAGTCTTAATGTGGCGTTTGTAAGAAAAACGCCAGTAATGTACCAGTCATAATGCTCCAATTGGGCTGCATTGTGACGTTTCACAATTTGTTCTTTTTAACCCTCTATTTTTCTTCATATAATTTGCCTCAATTTGATGTAAAAAATATTATTATAATTTATCTGTTTTTTTTACTCGACCTGTTTTCAAGTTATACTCTATATTTATCTACTTATCAGGAAAACTAAGCTTAACGATTCATTTTTGGTTCATTTCATTTTCATACAACAAAATCCCATAAAATTCCCAGCTTTAGTTTTTCCTTTTACAACTTGTGGAGTTCAAAGTGTTGAATTTTAGTTATAATTATATAGAAGTTTCTCCAATAAGTGTTGTTACTGTTTCTAAGCTCAGTTTAATTTCTTGTAGTGATATTTATTGATTGTGATATGTGTAGGTGAAGAAGGCGGCAGTCAATATTGTACGAGGATTAATAGGGTCTGAGGATGGCTTGCTCTCGCTTTCCAACTATGCCAGCTCCGTGCTTCCATCGTTGTCTCAGCTTTTGAGAGACGATAAGGTGTTTATTTTTTCATGAAACTTTCTTTAGCTAATCATTAGTGCTTGTCAGTAATCAATTAACACAAGTACGTCTCTTTTGATTTTTTTGTTTTATGGAGTGGTTGTCTCGTGTATTAATGTTGCAGGAAGTTTCAGAACCAGCTGCTGAAGCTCTCGTAAATCTGCCCCAAAATGCAGGATTGGCCGCCAAGATGGTTGAAATGGGGATGATTAAAATAGCCATGGATTTGTTCTATAAACCGCTTTAGTATTACTCGGCTGCTGGTTATGCTCCTTGTTAATCTAACACAGTTGGATGATGGTATTTCGTCTTTGCTTCAGGTGCTTTTGTCATGTCCTATGACTCTTACTAATCCTTTCGGTTGCTTCTTATTTCATTATCATTAGTTTTTCTGCCTTATCTCCGGGAATCGTTAATCACTTAGCAGAGGACTTTTTGTTAAACCCACTTTGGTTTTATAGAAAACCTAATTACTTGTCATTTTTTCTTTAGTCTATTCATGTGCTATGTTTAGATAAGTTGAAACACTTTATAAGAGGCCAAACTTCATTGAAATATTTCTTCCAGTATAAAACATCATTGTTTAGTCTTTATCGGACACAAGATTTGAATTATGTTATATTTATATCTATAGTATGTCATTTTTATTTAAAATAATAATTGAATTGATTATTAGGAAAAATTGAGGGATAAAAGGGTGGAGTATGAAGCTACGACTTCAAATCATGGTATTGTTAATGCGGATGAGATCGAAAATCAAGTTATTAATGAAATTTTGGGTCCTGAAAGATATGGTCGAGTTCGCATTCAATGATCATTCGTTACCCCAACCAAATATTTTGATCCAGTTCATCTCAACACTTGTCATCACACATCCAATCTTCCCAATCAGAAGGTAGTCGTTTAAAACAATATTTGGCTCAAATTGATGAAAATTTTGCTCAAATGAAAGCCGAAACTGAAGCAAAGGAAGCAGAGTGAGAGGCGGCTTATCAGAAAAAAATATGAAGATTTTCAAAATCAACTCAAGCTATGACATAGATGATACGACAAAATCAACCCCAGAGTCCACCATCTTAGGTGTTATTTTAGATATATTCTTTGTTTATTCTAGTTAATAATGTTGAATTACATTATATTTCACTTTAATGTAAACTTTGATTTATTATTATGGATTTCAAGTTTATTGGATAATGCTACAGATTAAAAATTTTAAATCTGGGTAATAAAAGAGCAGAAAACAGTATTTGAAAATCAATTTTCATTAGCGGCTTTTGTATAATAAAACGTCACTAAATACATAATCAATATCAACGTTTGTAAAACAAAATGCCACTAAAGTTTAAGATCTTTTGCTGCGCTTATATAGAAACGTCATTATATACATAGTCAATAGCGACATATTACATTCACAAATGCCACTATATGTCAGAACATTTAGAGGCGTTTGTAAAAAAATGCCTCTAAAAAGCATAATCTTAGCGGCGTTTGACATTCACAAACGCCACAAACTTTTACGGTGTTTGTTTTTGCGCCATAAGGGTTTTTTGAAGTGCTTAAAAACATCACTATATGACTAAAAAACACCACTAAAGACCTGTTTTGCTGTAATTCTTCCACCAATAACCTTTTCCCAGATTTAATGAATGTCGAGTTCAACATGCTTGGGTCGAATATGGAAGACGGGGTTAGCACTCAGTGACAACACTGGTATTATCGATCCAAATCACTGGTGACTCGCACAAAGATACATTCATATCAACTAACAAGACTTTCAACCAAACAATCTCGGATTCTACATCTATTATGCCACGATACTCTATTTCTGTCGTGAAACAAGAAGCTGATTTTTGACGCTTAAAACTCCATGCGACAAGATTGCCTTGAAAGTATACGCAAAACCCTAAAACAGACCTCTTATCACCAACATTGCTTGCCCAGTTTGCATCAGCAAAGACTGTTACCCCAGGTTCAACATTAGAAGCTTTGAACACAAGACCATAGTCCAAACTCCAACGTCCTGGTATAACATAAAATCCGTTTTACAGCAGCCTAATGTAGCTCAAAGGACTGATGCTTATATTGTACTACTTGATTAACATTAAAAGATATATCTAAACGTGTGTGATTCAGATATAACAGAGCGCCAAGCATACTACGATATACTTAGGCATAATTAAGAGGAATGTCTGTATTTCGACTAAGTTTTGGTCACTGTTTTGAAAATCGGACCGGACCGGCCGGTTCAACCGGGAACCGTGTGCTAGTCTGGTTCAATTTAAACCAGTTGAACCGCTACTAGTGAGCCGGCCAGAACCGCTGAACCGTTCGAACCGGACCCGCTGAAAACCGGAAAAAACCAAAAATTTGTTTTTTTTTTTTAAAAAAAATTAAACCAAACAACGTCGTTTGTTAAACGAGCCAAGTCGAACTCGAGTATTGCTGAGCTCGACTCGAACTTGAAAACTTTAAAAATAAGCTCAACTCGACTCAAACTCACAAGCTAAAAATTATCAAGTTCAACTCAAACTCGAAATATAATATTGAAACTTGAACTCAAAAAGGCTTGAACTAAAAAAAATTAGAAGCTCGATTGAAGCCTAAAATTCGAGCTTGATTGAAGTGAAAGAATAGTTCACTCAATGCTCACCAAAAGGCTCCATGATTTTAAATATCAAATTACCTCTATTATTTATAGAAGTTAGTTGTGATGCTCTTCTATGTTTCTTACCAATGTGAGATTGTTTTGTTCTCATATTTTTACTCTTTAGACTTTTGGGATGCTCTTCCATGTTTCTTAGTCATGTGGGATTGTTTTTTAAAAAAATTAAACCAAACAATATCATTTTGTTATGATTTTTTAACCCCAAATTTATTTTTTAATTATAGTTATATAATTATATTTATTATTTAATATGTTTTACCTTAAATATTATCTTGTAGTTAATTTGAATCATTTTGTTTCACTTGATTTTATGGTTTTTAACTTATATATGTTATGATTTTCTTTGAATATGACTTGTAATATAAAAAATTATTTTTTATTAAATATTTTTAGTATTTTTATTTATTTTTTTAAATAATTATGACGTCGTCCGGTTCTTTCGACCGGTCAGATCGCTTCAACCGATTAAACCAGTGAATCGATAACATAATCGGTTCGCTAACCGATCCGATTCTAAAAACCTTGGTTTTGGTGACACAAGCATAGCTGTTGGTGCTCCTTTGACACCAACCATATTTGTCTTGTCAAGTAACTCATATATGTACTTTTTCTGACTGGGGACAAGAGTATCAGCAGAACGACAAACCTCTAGTCCAAGAAAATAAGAAATATCACCCCAAGTTCTTCAAAGAAAACTCCTGATGCCAAGTTTAACCTAAACATGATCTAATTTAACCTCTCAAAATGTTTAGGGTCATTTGACCAAGATTGTCAAGTTTAAAGGCTAATTTGATCTCAAAAACATGGTTTTCAGAACCGGACCGGTTAGCGAACCGGCCATGCTACTGGTTCACTGGTTCAACCGGTCCAATCGGTCGGAAGAACCGGACGACGTCATAATTATTTAAAAAATTAAATAAAAATACCAAAAATATTTAATAAAAAATAATTTTTTATATCACAATTCATATTCAAAGCAAGTCATAACATATATAAGTTAAAAACCATAAAATCAAGTGAAACAAAATGATTCAAATTAACTATAACATAATATTTAAGGTAAAACATATTAAATAATAAATATAATTATATACCTATAATTAAAAAATAAATTTGGGGCAAAAAAAATCATAACAAAATGATATTGTTTGGTTTAATTTTTTTTAAAAACCAATCTCACATGGCTAAGAAACATAGAAGATCATCCCAACTAACTTCTATAAATAATAGAGGTAATTTGACATTCAAAATCATGGAGCCTTTTGGTAAGCATTGAGTGAACTATTCTTTCACTTCAATCAAGCTCGAATTTTAGGCTTCAATCGAGCTTCTAAATTTTTTTTGAGTTCAAACCTTTTCGAGTTCAAGTTTCAATATTATATTTCGAGTTCGAGTTAAACTTCATAATTTTTAGCTCGTGAGTTTGAATCAAGTTGAGCTTACTTTTAAATTTTTCAAGTTCGAGTCGAGCTCAGCAATACTCGAGTTCGACTTGGCTCGTTTAACAAACGACGTCGTTTGGTTTAATTTTTAAAAAAAAAAAACAAAATTGGCGTTTTTTTTTTCGATTTTTCCCGATTTTTCCCGATTTTTAGCCGGTCCGGTTTGAACGGTTCAACGGTTATGGGCGGTTCACTAGTAGCGGTTCAACCGGTCTAGATTGAACCGGACTAGCTAACTTCTATAAATAATAGAAGTAATTTGACATTCAAAATCATGGAGCCTTTTGGTAAGCATTGAGTGAAGTATTCTTTCACTTCAATCAAGCTCGAATTTTAGGCTTCAATCGAGCTTCTAAATTTTTTTTAGTTCAAACCTTTTCGAGTTCAAGTTTCAATATTATATTTCGAGTTCGAGTTAAACTTCATAATTTTTAGCTCGTGAGTTTGAATCAAGTTGAGCTTACTTTTAAATTTTTCAAGTTCGAGTCGAGTTCAGCAATACTCGAGTTCGACTTGGCTCGTTTAACAAACGACGTCGTTTGGTTTAATTTAAAAAAAAAACAAAATTGGCGTTTTTTTCGGTTTTTCCCAATTTTTTCCGGTTTTTAGCCGATCCGATTTGAACGGTTCAGCGGTTATGGCCGATTCACTAATAGCGGTTCAAGTTCAACCGGTCTAGATTGAACCGGACTAGACAACGGTTCCCGGTTGAACTGGCCGGTCCGGTTTTCAAAACAATGCTCAAAAGAAGTTCAAAGGACACGCCAATCAAACATACCAAGTATCGGGGGTATTTGATAAAAGGTTTATGGACTAATTTGATCAAATTTAAAGAGTTTGGGGCACTTTGTGTTATAAAGGTTTTTTCTTGATTTTTTTTTGAAGGTTTTTGGGTAAACTACACAAATGATCATTAAAGTATAAGGAAGTTTCCGTTTTCCCACTGAAGTTTTAAAAGTAACAAATTGATCACTAATATTATCGATTTGTAATAAAATGGTCATTCAATCGTTAGCAACCGTTACCAAAGTCACGAAAGGCTAATGTGTCTGTTTGGACGACTGAGTTGGCACAGTTTAACACCTCTTGACCAACTATTTTGACTTTATATTTGAAAAATATAAATCTTTTGTCGATAAAAGTGGGGGTTGTATTCTTCTGCCACATCTGGTGCAATTTGGCTAAGACCAACATCTCTGTTGAAGAGCACTCATATATATTAATCCTTCGGGCAGTCTTCAGGATGATTCACTATGAAAAACTTGCAATTGAAGTTAAATTCAAAGACGGACAGAAAGACTACCAGATGTCAATTTGTGCTCAGGTATTTTAATTTCATTCGTGATCAGGAGTTATCGTTATTGGTGTTTGCGAATGTCGAAGAAGCAGTAAAGAAAGGGTGACAAAGAAGGGAATGACTTTTGGTTAAGAAGTGAAGCAAAAGTGTAAGGTTGATCCAAATGTTATTTCTGGTCTCTATGGTAGTTGGGTGATTCCCCTAGCAAAGGAAGTTGAAATCGAATACCTCTTCCGTCGCCTCGATTGAAACCTTTTTCATACCCGTTGTCGATATTTTCTTCCGAATAAGATCATTGATATGTCACAAAACTGCTTCCTAATTAATCAAGATGTATCATGGAAAGTTGGAAACCGAGCTGACTTTTCATATTTAAATTTTTTTAGTTCAACTCTTGAATATAGTTTATTCATAGTAAAAATGTCAAGAAATCTAAAAAACAAAGTAAAATATTTATGAAAGTAATAATATATTTGATTATGCTTTTAAAATTTTCTAGGATAATGTACGACAAATGGAATCTATTTACAAGCCATTAATTTTACATTTATAGTATGTTTGATTATCGTTAGCTACGTACTTTCCATGATTGACTCTGGTGTAGGTCGAATAGATATGTCTAGCAAGCTTTTGTTTTTTTTTTTTGTAAATGGTCGGTCCCTTGTAACATGGAACCTTGTAGTATGTTACCTCAATGTTTCTTGAACATTTGTTTTCCTCGGAAGAATGACAGAGGTCGTTATAATAGAGAAGTGACTTCAAGTAGAGCTTGGTGTTTTTGATAAATTGTGCCCAATATGCTACAAGTATCTTCACTTTTACATGCTTGGAGAAGACAACCTACAACGTTTATGTTGAAAATTAGCAAATCCACCGAAAGGTGGAGTTAAAAATTCCACCGAAAAAAATTGTCAAAAAGGGTTGGCTATTTGTTGAAAATCAACAATGGTAAAATCTCAATTTTAGTCATTGTAATTTAGGATATTTACAAATTAGTCCTTAAGCTTCAACTATAAACACCCTAGCTCATTTAGCTTCAAAACCATCCCAAATCATTCTAGTTTTTTCCCAATACTAGAGAATTTAGAGAGTTTCTTCAGAGTTGTTTTCTCCTTTTTATCAAGAGAGAATTATCATTGTTTTCTCCTTGGTAGATCGAGAGAAGTTGTAATTCTTATTTTCTCATAGTGAAATTCTTCTACTGTTGCCCGTGGTTTTTACCCTATATTATTTAGGGGTTTTTCACGTAAATTTTATGTCTTTTTTATCTTCATTTTTATTTTCTCAAATTATTAGTTGCGATTTTTCTCTATCTGATAGCCGTCTTCGCAACAATTGATATCAGAGCTAGATTTGAGTGTGTAATAACTGCTTATTGTCTTTGTGGTTGCCACCAAAAGGTGGATCATCCAACATAAGAAAGTAAGAAGTTATTACCCATTCTTTGAAGGTTCTAGAGAACTATTCACGATAGTGAAATAGTGGGAGCTATCTAGAAGCTATGACAACGAAGTTTGATATTGAAAAATTCAATGGGAGAAATTTCTCATTGTGGAAATTGATGATGAAGGCCATCCTGAGGAAAGACGATTGTCTAGCAACTATCAACGAATGACCGGTAGATTTTACAGACGACAACAAATGGATCGAAATGGACGGGAATGCTATGACAAACTTTCATTTAACATTAGCAGATAAAGTATTGTCAAGCATCGAGGAGAAGAACACAACTAAGGAGATATGAGATCATCTCACCAAATTGTAAGAGGCTACATCGTTGCACAATAAAATTTTCCTTAAAAGGAAATTGTACACTCTCCGGATGCCAGAATCTACTTCAGTGACGGAGCACTTAAACACGCTAAACACTTTATTTTCTCAGCTTACATCTTTAAGATGTACAATAGGAGAACAAGAACGTGCTAAACTTCTACTTCAAAGTTTACCTAATTTGTATGATCAACTCATCATCAACTTAACAAATAGTAATGTCACCAGTCTAGTCTTCGATGACGTTGCAGCTGCTTTTCTACAAGAAGAAAATTGGCGCAAGAACAAGGAAGACAGACAAGTAAATCTGTAACAAGCAGAAGCGTTGACAACGATGAGAGGGAGATCAACAGAATGTGGCCAAAGCAGCAGTCACAAACATGATAGATCGAAGTCGAGGAGAAAGAAGAATTTAAAGTGCTACAACTGTGGAAAAAAGGGACACTTGAAGAAGGATTGTTGGAGTCTAAATAAAAACTCCAACCCATAAGGCAATACCGCAAACACTTCAGATGATGAAGATGCTCTATGTTGTGAAGCGTCAACCACCGTGGAAGGTAGAAAAAGATTTGCAGATATATGACTCATTGATTCGGGAGCAACATATCACATGACCTCAAGAAGAGAATGGTTCCATCATTATGAACCTGTCTCAGGAGGATCTGTGTATTGTTGCAATGATCATGCCTTAGAGATCATTGGCGTGAGAACTATCAAATTAAAGATGTATGATGGAACAATTAAAGTTGTTCGAGATGTGCGGCATGTGAAAGGCCTGAAGAAAAATTTATTATCCTACGGATTGTTGGATAATAATGCAAGAAATATTGAAATAGGAAAAGAATTATGAAGATGTTCCGTGGAGCGCTTATGGTACTGAAAGGTGAAAAGATAGCATCAAACTTGTACATGCTGAAGGGAGAGACTTTGCTAGAAGCAGAAGCCTTTGTTGCCTCATGTAGTTCAAATTCTGCAATGCTATGGCATCAGAAACTTGGACACATGTCATAACAAGGAATGAAAGTCCTTGTGGAGCAAAAGCTACTTCTAAGCTTAACAAATGTATCACTTACTTTGTGTGAGCATTGCATAATAAGTAAGCAACACAGGTTGAAATTCAAGACATCAAATTTTAGAGCCAAAAGTGTTCTAGAATTGGTTCACTCTGACATACACCAGTTACATCCCTAGGTGGAGCAAAATACTTTGTCTCATTTATTGATGACTACTCTAGGAGATGTTGGGTGTACCCTATTAAGAAGAAGTCAGATGTGTTTTTAACTTTCAAAAACTTCAAAGCGTGGGTGGAACTTGATTATGGAAATAAGATCAAGTGTTTCAGAACAGATAATGAGAGGAGAATACACAAGCGAAGAATTTGATGACTTTTGCAGGAAAGAAGGCATCAAAAGACAGTTCACAGTGGCGAACACTCCTCAATAAAATGGAGTGGTAGAGCGGATGAACAGAACCTTGTTAGAATGAACAAGAGCAATATTGAGGGATGCAAGCCTAGAAAAATCATTCTGGGCAGAAGCAGTCAATACCGCCTGTTATTTGGTAAATCGAGCTCCATCAATAGCAATAAAGCTGAAGACACCAATGGAGATGTGGACTGGTAAACCAACTGATTATTCAAACTTCCATGTATTTGGAAGTATAGTGTACGTGATGTACAACTCCCAAGAAATTTCAAAGTTGTATCCAAAATCCAGGAAATGCAAATTCTTGGGGTATGCTGATAGAGTAAAGGGGTATCGCTTGTGAGATCCCACTGCCCGCAAAGTGATCATTAGCAGAGATGTTATCTTTGTAGAAGATAAGCTACAAAGAAAAGAAGAAGATAGTAGCGCTGAAAAGTCAGAGACTACACAGATACATGTGGAAAAGGAGTTTGAACAAGGAGATTCTTCTGAAGCACAACCAACACATGATGAACAAGAACCAGAGAGTTATGAAGCTCCAACAACTCGTCAATCAGATCGTGTGAGAAGACATCCCAATTGGCACTCAGATTATGTTATAGAAGGTAATATTGTATATTGCCTTTTAACAGAGGACGGTGAGCCATCAACATACCAGGAGGCAATAACAGCTCAGATGCTTCAGTGTGGATGACAGCGATGTAAGAAGAAATCAAAGCCCTTCATAAAAATAATACATGGGACCTTGTGCCACTACCACAAGGAAGGAAACTAATTGGTAATAAATGGGTCTTCAAAATCAAGCGAAATGGTGACGATCAAGTGGAAAGGTATCGTGCAAGACTGGTGGTCAAATGATATGCTCAAAAAGAAGGTATTGATTTCAATGAAATCTTTTCTCCTATGGTTCGACTAACAACAGTTCGAGTAGTCTTGGCAATGTGTGCTACATTGAACTTACATATAGATCAGCTAGATGTTAAAACAACTTTTCTTCATGGAAATCTTGAAGAAGAGATTTATATGCCCGTCCTGATGGTTTTGAAGAAGACGAAAAGAAGAACTTGGTTTGCAAGTTGAACAAATCTCTATACGGTCTAAAGCAGGCGCCGAGGTGTTGGTATAAGAGATTTGATTCCTTCATTATGTGCCTTGGATACAACAGACTTAATGCAGACCCTTGTGCTTATTTCAAGAGGTCTGGTGATAATGATTTTGTTAAATTGTTGTTGTATGTGGATGACATATTGGTTGCAGGACCCAACAAAGATCATATTGACGAATTGAAGGCACAACTGGCTAGAGAATTTGAAATTAAGGACTTGGGATCAACAAACAAGATTCTAGGGATGCAAATTCACCGAGACAGAAGTAATAGAAAGATTTGGCTTTCACAAAAGAATTACTTGAAGAAAATCTTGTCACGATTCAACATGCAAGATTATAAGCCAATTTCTACCCCTCTTCCTACTAACTTCAAATTATCCTCCAGTATGAGTCCTAGCAGTGACAAAGAGAGGATGGAGATGTCTCGAGTAACGTATGCATCAGCAGTGGGAAGTTTAATGTTTGCTATGATATGCACAAGACCAGACCTTGCGCAAACAGTGGGAGTGGTTAGTCGGTACATGGCGAATCCAGGCAAAGAAAACTGGAATGCAGTAAAGAGGATCCTGAGATACATCAAAGGGACCTCAAATATTTCATTATGTTACGGAGGATCAAACTTACTAATCAATGGGTATGTAGATTCTGACTATGCAGGGGATTTGGATAAAAGCAAATCTACGACAAGATATGTGTTCAAAATTGCTGATGAAGCTATAAGCTGTGTTTTAAAATTACAGTCAGTTGTGGCTACATCTACAACAGAAGTAGAATATGTAGTAGCTACACAAGCCAGTAAAGAAGCAATTTGGTTGAAGATGCTATTGGAGGAGCTTGGGCACAATCAAGAGTATGTCTCTCTGTTTTGTGACAGTCAATGCGCCTTGCATTTAGCAAGGAATCCAACATTTCATTCAAGGACAAAGCACATACGAGTTCAGTGTCATTTTATTCGTGAAAAAGTGGAAGAATGGACGGTAGATATACAGAAGATCCATACCAAAGACAACATAACAAATTTCATGACGAAGGCGATCAATGCCGATAAATTTACTTGGTGTCGATCCTCTTATGGCCTGTCAGAGACATAAGCAATATGATGGTACAAGATAGAAAGAATGGTGTGAAGATATGATTGTTCTAATCAAATCTTCAAGTGGGAGATTGTTGAAAATTAGCAAATCCACCGAAAAAAATTGTCAAAAAGGGTTGGCTATTTGTTGAAAATCAACAATGGTAAAATCTTAATTTTAGACATTGTAATTTAGGGTATTTACAAATTAGTCCTTAAGCTTCAACTATAAATACCCTAGCTCATTTAGCTTCAAAACCATCCCAAATCATTCTAGTTTTCTCCCAATACTAGAGAATTTAGAGAGTTTCTTGAGAGTTGTTTTCTCATTTTTATCAAGAGAGAATTATCATTGTTTTCTCCTTAGTAGATCGAGAGCAGTTGTAATTCTTATTTTCTCATAGTGATATTCTTCTACCGTTGCCCGTGGTTTTTACCCTATTTTATTTAGGGGTTTTCCACGTAAATTTTGTCTATTTTATCTTCATTTTTATTTTCTCAAATTATCAGTTGCGATTTTGCTCTATCCGATAGCCGTCTTCCACAACAGTTTAAACATCATAAGAATGGAGAAACACACAAGTGTTTGTAATCAGAGTGTATCTCCCAAATAACACTAGAAAGAGGTAAGCAAGTTTTTAGATTTATATGCTTGGAAAGACAACCTACCATCCCTCACAATGTTCGTGTGTTTAGATTTGCATCGCCATCGAAAAATCATGTGCAAGGATTAATAGTATGAAAGCACACATTTTTATATGTTACCATCAATGATAAGCTTTGCATGAGAGCCTACACCCCAACAATAGGGATGTAAACGAGCCGAGTCGAGCTTGAGTATTTCTAAGCTCGACTCGACTCGAAAACTCTGAAATGGAGCTCGAATTGACTCGACTCGAAAACTCACGAGTTTAAAATTTTCAAGTTCGACTCGAACTCGAAATCATGAACTGAAACTCGTTAGCAGCTCGAAAAGAAAAAAAAACTTAAACTTAAACTTAAACTTAACTTGATCGAAGCCTCACACTCAAACTCGAACCTGAACCTTAAATACATGAAAAATATTATTGTATTTAAAAAAATCAATACATAAATGTTAATATTATGAAAAAATTATTAAAAAAAATCTTAATATATTATATTTTTGAGCTACTCACGAGCTTTTCGAGTCGAATATCAAATAACTCATTTCGGCTCGTTAAGAACTTGAGTCGAGCTAGAGTCGAGTCCATTCGATCCAAGTATTTATCGAGCCTTGATCGAGTCCATCTCGAGTACCTCACGATTTGTCTCATCTCATTTACAGCCCTACCCAACAACCAACTTAACTAAGTGGGCTATTTGGATCTAGTTATCAAAGTGTATTTCAAAAGGGACCACCTGAAAATTCCAAATGGAGGGCTAATACAATACTTTAACTCTCTGCCACTAGGGTCATTGCTCGACGTGAAACTGTTGAGTCACATTAAATCCATGGGTCATGGAAATTTTTTGGTCAGTGGCAAATCCAAGTTCGTCAAGAAGCTCTCAGTGTTGGCCTGTAGACACTTTAGGTATCAACTATTACCCCTTATTTGAAGATCTTTATTTGCTTTTGTAGCCAATTTCAACAGGTTTGCAATTTTTCCCCAGTATCTTTTTTTTCTTCAAATTAGGGATTTATGTTTTTATTTGAACGAGAGTCAAAGGGTTGGTAAAGGGGGTGTCGATGGCCAAACGGTGCCACATCAACTTTCAAACAGACACATCAGTCTTCTACAACTTGGGTAACGACTATTAGAGGTGGAATGAGTTATAAATCAATAACATTAATAATCAATTTGATACTTTTGAAATTTCTATAGGAAAACGGAAACTTACTCGTACTTTAATGACGACTTGGTGTAGGTTACCCTTTAGATTGTCCAAAATGAAAGGGCATATAGTTGGATGGCAAGTTGGAAAATTAAAGGAAGAATAATTTTCACTTCCCCCGCCAAAAGAAAAGAAAAAACGAAAAATGACTCATCAAAACCTTCAATTTTCTAGCAATAAAAACTTGAAATCGTCTCTCCACAAAGGTACTGTATTTAGAAGAAACAATAAAAAAGAAAAGAAAGAAAATGGAGAAAGGGTTAATCTCAGTGGATGAATGGAGAGAGGGAAGCCAAGCATACTTCCTAACGCACCTGCACGCGGATCACATTAAAGGTCTATCATCCACCTGGGCCAAGGCTCCCATCTTCTGCTCCCGCATCACCGCCAAGCTCTTCCCTTTCAAATTCCCCAACTTCAACCTCTCCCTTCTTCACGTCCTCGATCTCGGCTCCTGGCACTCTCTCTCCCTCCTTTCGCCTTCCTCCGCTTCCGAAGTCACCGTCCAAGTCATGGCCATCGACGCTCACCATTGCCCCGGTTCGGAAATTTCGTGACATTTTCACTCTCACTCATCTAAAAAAGCGTTTCTAATGGTTTTTTTTCTTTTGATTGTTTGATGATTTTGGTTGTAGGCGCGGTTATGTTCTTGTTTCGTGGCGAGTCTGGGTGCACGCTCAACACTGGAGATTTCCGATGGGAGATAAACAGTGAGAGGGCGAAATTAGGGAGGGAGATGCTGTTGAATGCTCTTCAGCACGATAAGGTTGATGCGCTTTACTTGGACAACACGTACTGTAATCCTTCTTATCAATTCCCTCCCAGGGAAGTTGCTGCCCAGCAGGTGCTTTTGAAATTCCCAATCGATTGTTTGTTAAATTTCAAATTAACATATATTTTAGGTATTTTCTTTGTAATTTCATCTAATAATCTGTTTTCGATTTAAAATTTTATAAGCTCATTCCCTCCTAAAATTTATAAGTTGGCCCCATAACCTAAAATACACCGTCCGTATTAGTTGTTTTTGAACGCTTATTAAATCATTAAATAGTTGAAATTCATTTTCAAATTGTACTGGTAGAAAGTTGGGTTTGATGATTCTTATTTAAAGATCAAATTTGGGTTTAAAATTTTGAATGTTTTGTTGAGCTCGATGTAGAATCTTAAACAAGCTCAATCATGGGTTTATTTGGCTTGTCAACTCAGCTTGTTTGCAATCTTGTATTAGAGATAACTGTAGATTAAAACAATTGACAGTCTGTAACTCAAGTTATGTGCAAACTTGACTTGAGACATTACAGTGCTTGTTGGTTTTTCATAGTAGAACTGTACCACCTTTAAGCATATATGTAGCATTTATGACCAGGAATGAAAATTAAACTACAATGATCGACAGCAGTCAGAAATATTGCTTATTTGTTTCTTCTTCTTAGTGCACAAAAATGGTTACAATGTCTGTTTTAATATTTACTAAAGAAAAAGGATCAATTCTGAGTCTATATCTGCTGAAGCCAAGGTTTGTATAGATGTCTTCGTTATTATAGTATTAACTTCGGAGCTGAAGATCAGATTTGGTTTTCTTACTGCTTTAATTTTTCCGATAACAGATTGTTGACCTCATCACTTCCCATCCAGACCATGACATTGTCATCGGGATTAACACCTTGGGCAAGGAAGATCTTTTGCTCCACATATCAAAAGCACTTAATATAAAGGTAAAAGGTTTGGCCTTTCTACTTTTTGACATTGATTTTTCTTTGTAATAGTACAACTTACTCCAGTAGTCGAAGTATTAGGTTGAATGATATTTATCCTACCTTGGGAAATCACTGGGGCAGGTGCATGAGAGGTTATTCCTTTGATCCTTAACATATCGAGTTTACACTTAATAAAAGGGGAAGTGTCTTAGTCAACTGCTTCAGATCTACAATCATTTGCAGTGCTGTATGATAAACCAGGCTTTTACTCTCACATTTTCACTTCCTGCTGAAAAATCTAACTATAAAGAGATGAATGGTTGAAGTATGTTTTAGGTTTTCTTCCTTATTAACATATAGTCTTGAAGATTAATGATGATTTTAGCATTTCCTATCAGTTATTCATTTTTTGCCTGCCTCCTTTGGTTGCGATCCTTGTAGATTTGGGTCTGGCCAGAGCGCCTCCAAACCATGCATCTTCTTGGGTACCATGACATTTTCACGACCGACACATCTCTTACAAGGGTGCGAGCTATCCCTCGTTACAGTTTTAGCATCAACACTCTAGAAGGGTTAAATACGATGCACCCAACTATAGGAATCATACCATCTGGTCTTCCATGGATTGCTAAGCCCCTTGAAAGAGATGGCAGGCTTTTTGATTCCCTTTTAACTTCTCGTTACAACAGAAGCAAAGTGAGTTCAAGAGGTGGGAAGAAGAACGATAAAACCCATGGCAATTTAGGATCTGTAGAAAGGTTTCACAAGTACATATATTCGGTCCAATATTCTGATCACTCGAGCTATCCGGAGCTAGAGGAGTTCATAAAGCTTGTGCAGCCAACCAATATGAAAGGCATTGTAACTACTTCACCTTGTTATGTCGATCCTCTTTATTACTTTGGTCGCATTTGTGGAATAAACCAGCCATCACAAAAGTTGCACCGTCAACATCAAATGTTTGGAAAAGGTTATATTGGAATAGAAAATAAAAGAAAAAGGGTTGATCGTTTAGGATTTCATTCAATTAGGGAAAGAGTGATAAGACGAACTGTTCGAGGTGTAAAGCTTGATGAATATGATGGTTCTGATTGACTAGAGACTTTGACTTCGGCACCTACTAAGTTGACAATGTTGTAAATGGTTGGGACTAGTTACTAGTAACTGAGAAATGAAATTGTGTCAGCATTAGTTGGTTCAATTAGTTGTGTATACACTAAAACTTTGGTAAACTATGAGCTTGGTTATTCTACTTATTGATGTCTAAATTTCACTGTTTTGGTAATAGAACTCTACATCAGTAGTGGCTGGCTGCATGTGGATTGAAGACCATAAATAGGTACTTTAGATATGCTATCGGATGTTTCAGATTTGGATTGTTTTGTGATTGCAAAATTTTAGATTTTATTGTTTTTGGATTTGAAAGTCTTCGGTTTTGGATCCTTTTTGAGTTTAAAATACCTTAGATGGATTTTTTTTTTTTAGTTTGGACATTATGTTGGATCAGATTGAATTGCAGCTTAGGTGAATTAGTTGTGTTTGAATAATTTTACAAATTTTCTTTTGTTAAAAAAATTGAATGTGAAATTTAGTGTTTAACTTTTTTCATGTATAAGATGTGATAGTAATACTAAAACGATGTAATGCAGACGGGTACCCAAGAGAAAGATAAAAGAAGTTGGGTACAAACTCAGAAAATTTCATCAAAAGCAACATACCACCAAAGTAGGGATGGGTATGGGTAAGGTCGGGTTTAATTTTTGGCCATCCGACCCAAAAATTATAAATATTTCACCAGACTCTAATTTGACCCAAAAATATATACCTTTCACCCGACTTGAACTCGACCTGATTTTTTGAGATAAAATCCAAATCCGAAATAACATATTTATTAAAAAATATTATTTTTATTCAATAAAAATAGAGATTTAATTGAAATAAAATAACATACAGAGAGATATTATTGCAATTATCCCTAAATATATAGGTAAAATTATAATTTTTCGGGTTGAGTAGGATATTTTTCATCCTAAATGCGAACCCGACCTGACCCGAACCCATTTAAAGAAAAACTCGACCCGATTGGATCAAGTCGGGTTGGAACTCGTTGGATTCGGGTCTCGATGCCCATCCCACACCAAAGTTAGTAGAAACGGCAATGTTTTGTGTTTTCCTAATTACAACCGAAACTACGTCGCACTGTATCCCATTCCGGAATTTGTATACATTTCAGTTGAATCCATTGAAACCGAGATTTCTAAAGAAATGATAATCCCAATAATCTCAACACATATAGAGCTACAGGAATGGCAACCAAGCTGAGAGGGATTGCTTGAACCATAGCCTCCCTCCAGCTCTACAAATGGTAATTCCAGGTTCTGAAGTCCATACAATGCAGATTCACAATAACATTCCTCCCAACTTAGTAAGCTTCCCATGCATCAAAATTCATGAAAACCTGAGGGCTGTATGACCTACCTAGTCAATATAAAAAAAACCCCGGTAATTATCGAAAACTATCGTTATCTATCATTACAATACCTACAAAAGTAACTTGAGTGTTCTTGTCTTTTTTAGAGTGTAAAAAAAACATAAATCTTATAGAATCTTACCTCATAATATTCTCATGCTTGTCACATACATACCATTATTCTTCACTTTAGTAATCATTCACATTATTACTCAATTAAAAAATTATCAACTTTCACTAATCAACTTATCAACCGATCTCACTTGTTATTAGACATATTGCTTTCAAGCCTCCACTATTAATCAAACCCATAAATGTCGTATTTCATTTGTGAATCACCCTCAAATTCACCCTAAACACTTGTTTAAATCCCTTTGATGATTATTAAAGTTTATAGAAGCCGTTATGAATTATCATACATCATTTTCACACATTTATAATATCAAAATAGTTCACATCGAATTTATAAACACCTAAGCCCCCAACATATTTTTTCACCCCCATACAAACAAATAACACTAAATATTATGAGTTACAAGTAGTAGGGAAGAATTATAAAATGTTACATCAACTTCCAAGCAACCCAAAAACTCCTCAAGCTCAACTTAGAACCAAACTTTCCTTGTTCTTTCTCTTGGAGGGCTTCCTCCACTCTCCCACTAGTCAAAGCCACCGAAAAAATCCACAACTAATTGGTCTAGTAGAATGAGACAGTAGATTTCTTAAGTAAGGTTAGAGGTTTAGATTCTGACGTTTGTGTATGGAGCAAATTGGACTGGAAGGGTCGCCCCTATAATGAACCTCTGTAAAATTCGATTTAGATTAGTCAGCGAGTAGATTGGATACTGGCGATTAATTAAAAAAATCACCAAAAATGTTTCTATGATCAAAATGATGATTATAACTTGATAAACAAAAACTTGAAACACCCACAACCAATCATCATCTACCTTCATCGTAAGCACATTCACTAGATTCACCACACCCATACCCACTGTCACATTACCCTTTACCCAAATATCCTCCAAAATCATCATTATCTTTAACTAAACCAATAGACGACCAAAGCTCGAAACACCCACAACCTAACATCATCACCCATCGCCTCCAAATGAAGTCCTACCTCTCAGTCACTAATGCTTTCAATCCTCTCCATCTGTCCAACATAATCATCATCACTCCCATCATCACCCCAAAACCATCAAAACACCCTAATTCTTATATCTCTTCCTTAATTTTCTCTAATCCGAACAACTAAACCCAAACAAAGAATAATAACAATAAAAGGAATGAAAAAAGAAAAGAGAAGGAAGAAGTATACTACCCACATTCAGCTAGAGGTAGTTGTCACCAAGGCGCGAAGGGTTGCCTTTCAGATTCGGATGGTGAGGAGACATACAATAATAAAGGGACTAACATACTTATGTTTGGGCTCAATCTGATGATGAACAAAAGAGATTGGAGGGAGAATAGTCGAAAGGCCCCGATCTAAATTTGTGGTGTTGAACTAAATAAAAACAAAAATAAAAAAGAAATGATGCTTCTTCCGTTCAATTAGAAAATAGTTGAAAGTTCTCGATCCAAACTTGTGGCGAACAAAAAAACAAATTTGTGTTGGTAACGATTATAAAGGTTTGTTACCAACATGTTAAGGGCTTCAACTTGGTTTACTATGCCTGAACATTCAAGGTTTCACCTAAAGTATAAGGTTAGATAAAACCAATTAGTTCAAAGTGATTACTTTTCCAATTTTCAACCTAAAATATGACTAAATCTATAACATTTTAGGTTGTTACTTGTTAGTTATAAAATTTGAGGTTCCCATTATCGAAATTCATTGACCAAGTTTTAAAAAATGACGAGATAAATCTTTAAACTCGATGCATTCCAACTCACGTTACAATTATAAAGGTTTATTATTACCAATCTGTTATGACAACATCATAGGTCGTAGTTTCAATTTAGTTTACTATGTTTGAATATATGAGGTTTCAACCTAAAGTATAATGTTAGGAAACATCAATTGGTTCAAAGTAATTCCTTTTTCACTTGATCCAATAATGTCGCCAAAGTATATGTTGACGAAAACGGGTAAAGAAAACAAAAGAACACGAGAATTTTACGAGGTTCGGCAATGTGCTTACGTCCTCGGTGCCTAGGCGGCGCTAGAAGTTTTATTCAATAAATTTTTTTTAGGTCTAGGTTACATCTCTATTTATAATAGAAAACCCTGGTTCATAATTACAAAATCAACCCTGTACCATACCGCAGGGGCTGCGCCCCCGCACCCCCAACCCACATAATTCGTAACCCCACAACGAGACTTTCTTTGTAAGGACAGTTGATGTTTGCTTCTCTCACTCTGCTCCATCTCCTGTCCTCTTTACTGGTATATTTATGAGCCATACCTAACAAATCTCCACCTTGGCGAATATCCTGCCCCTTGGAAACTTCAATGTGGGTTGGGTTACCTTGCTTCTTTAACAACTCAAAACATTCAACAAGTCCAAGCAATGCTTGAACTTGTCTATCGTAACTAGCTTGGTGAATATATCAGCAGCATTCTCATCAGTATGTACCTTCTGAAACAAAACCTCTCCAGATGCAACCAACTCTCTGATCTTGTGGAACCTTACATCAATATGTTTAGTTCTAGCACGATACACCTGATTCTTAGCCAAGTGAATAGCACTTTGATTATCACAAAGCAACTGAACTCCACCTTGTTAAACACCCAACTCCTTCACTAAACCAGTAAGCCATAAAGCTTCTTTTGCAGCTTCAGTTGTAGATAGAGCCACAACAGATTGAATAGTAGACTTCCAACAAATAGGCCCTCCACCAAGAGTAAAGACATACCCTGTCGTAGATCTTCTATTATCCAAGTCACCTGTATAGTCTGAATCCACATATCCTACAACCAAAGGATTATCCCGCTGACTCCCAAAAACAATTCCATGTCCCACAGTACCCTTTAAGTACCGAAAGATCCACTTGATTGCTTCTCAATGTTGCTTACCAGGTTTAGACATGTACTTACAAACTTGACTAACAGCATGAGCTAAATCAGGACGAGTACATACCATCGCATACATCAAGCAGCCAACAACATTAGAATACGAAACCTTTGACATATCTTCAGCTTCCTTATCTGTCTTAGGGCACTGTTCTGATGAGAGCTTAAAGTGATTCGCCAATGGAGTGCTAACTGGTTTCGCGCTGCTCATCGCAAACCTTTCTAGCATTTTCTCAACATAACCCCGTTGAGATAGCCGCAGTTTCCTTGAGTCTCTGTCCCTGTAAATTTCCATTCCAAGAATTTTCTTTGCAGCACCTAAATCTTTCATATCAAATTCCTGACTCAATAAAGTTTTCAAACCGATAACATCATCCATGTTCTTCACAACAATCAACATATCATCAACATACAGTAATAGAAAAATAAAAGAACCATCATCAAGGCTTTTAACATAGACACAACAATCATACTCACATCGGTTGTAGCCAATCTTGATCATATAGGAGTCAAACCGTTTATACCACTGTCTCGGAGACTGTTTCAACCCGTACAAAGATTTCTTCAATTTGTAAACTAAATGCTCGTTTCCAGGTTGAGTGAAACCTTCAGGTTGCCGCATGTATATCTGCTCCTCTAAATCATCATGCAAAAAAGCAGTTTTAACATCCATCTGCTCTAAATGCAAATCCCAACTAGCTACCAATGCAAGTACTGCTCGGATTGAAGTGTGC